CAAGGCGAGCTTGTTACTGTCAGATGGCCAATTCTGGTTCCTCCGCCTGCTCCCGGACCTCAGTTTGATTATCATGTGGAGCACAGGCCACAGGTTCAGAAGCCAAAACCAAGGCTGCCAAGGTTTCCAAGTAATGCATCTGCACCAGGATCATTCAACGTCAATGGCTTCATTGCGCACAACACTTTCTTTGATAAAGCCAAGAACCCATATTCCAAGCCAACAATATCATCTGATCGGTTCTGGAGTTATCAGCAGCGCAGTTATTACTCCTGTGTCCTATACAATCAAGGGCGCATATTTCCTCATATGCGTCTAGACTGCGAAGCCATAGCTGGCCTGCCTTGCTTAGAAGAAGCCCTAGACTGTTTCAAAGATGCAGGCCTTCTCTAGTTTGTGACTGATAAAGAAAATTGGAATGAAGAACTTCTGTTGTAATTCTATGCAACTCTCCACATTCGCGGCTACAACAGGGATCCAAAGACATGGGTCCTTGAGTGGATGACAGGCAATGTACACCATGAAGCCAAAGCTCTTGATCTCATTGAGCTTACTGGCCTGTCCACTCCAGGTGAACTATATGAATCTGGTTGTCAGCTTCACCGCAATGCATTGGAAAGTATCTTCCCGAAGCCTGAGCCCAATATGAGCCAAATGCTGAGTATGATGAAGCCACTGCCTCAGGATGCTGAATATCCCAAGGAATTCTTTGTTGAAGACCTAGAGTATCTGCCCCGCACCATCTATCACATTATCAGGCGAACTCTTTGGCCCATCAAAGGACATTCTTCCTCAGCTAAGCTTGAAGGGCTCAATGAAGACTTTGGTCTTCTATATTCTCAATGGCATCAGCTTCAACGTTCAGGATTTCTTCATTCGCCAATTTGCTGCATCTGGCTCAGATATATTTGGTCTAAAATTCTATGCTCCATGGGTAATGCGTCTGATCAAGGTTCACTCTGCTGTTGACTATCAGCCCTGTGCACGCAACTATCTCATATTCTTTCCAGAGGTTGATATGTCCGTCGAAGCCATTTACCCGGAGCCTGCCAAGGAGGCAATTTATCTTCACAATGTCGATCGTCAGAGTTTCTCTCAGCATGTTGAAGGAGTTCATGCTGCCACTCGTGTTTATCCTTTGGCTGGAAATACTCGTGTACCTCGTCGTGCCTGTACTGAAGCCACTGAAAGCACTATTGCTCCAAGGCATCTAAAGAGATCTCGTGTGCTCAATGACCGAGAGCTTCTCGTGGCCTTGCATCAGAAACACGATAAGCATCATTACTGGCTAAAGCGTCAGATGCAAAGCCTATTGGTGGATATTAATCGCATTCGAAATCTTGCCACCAAGAATGCGATTGTCACTCATGAAACCTGTCGGAGGTCTTGGAAGAGTCTGACATTGCTTAGTGTTGAAGCTGATCTTCAAGACGATGGCTTCACAGAGAGATTCAATTTCGACGCCACTCCTCCCATGAATGTTGTCTTGCATCGGACTCCGTCACTCGAAGATTCTGAGTACTCCTCCTCCGCGGCAACTGTTAATGCCAGAGTCCTTGATGACGCCGATGATGCTACTTCACCACCTCCAACTTCGACGCGTATCGACACTGCACCAAGTTCATCTGCACCACCAAACCTCAACAATGACCCTGCTGCCTAACCTACTCCTCATGGGAACGAGTAGAGACTATCTCTTCAAACCTTTTTGGTCCTTACTGACAAAAAGGGAGAACATATGTTGATAGTCTTCAAGCGGGTCCATATGGGTGGTTGCTATACTTTTGCCAAGTGTTTACAACTCTCGCTTTTGATACATTTGGTTCTTTGAGTTGTAACACTTAAACTTGATGGTCGTCTGCTACTTTTTCTGTTATCCTGTGATGCGATGATAATCCCGCATGAAGTCATTCTACAAACGTCCATTTTTCATTATGCATGTCATTACTCTTGTTATATCTGTTCATGCATGATGATTGTCTTCATAAGGTAAAGAGGATCTCCACAAGTACAACCTGACATGTGCATTTGCATTCCAACGCAAAACATTTATATGCACATCTTCAGGGGGAGCCTTTTTGCCACCTACGAAGACAATATCTTAATCCTTTACAATTTCACATACTTTTATCCCCGTTGAAAACTTCAACCAGTCTGTCATCAATCACCAAAAAGGGGAAGATTATAAGTGCATCTAGTGCCACCCCTAGTTGGTTTTGGAGTATTGGCGACAAACCTGGTTGACAGACTAATGTGTTTGTGAGAATTGCAGGATAACACAGGTAGTAGTCCCTCATTGATTTGGTTTACCTACCGGAGATGACCCCTAAAAATGTGTGAAGACATTGAAGACAATGGTGGTCTGTGAAGCTTTTCACGTTGAAGACTATGACATGAGAAGACATCGCATGAAGACTATGGAGCGCGAAGACTTAGTTGTTTTGTTGTTTCCTTTTCTTCTTTGTTGAGTCATAGGAACCACCGCACTGTTAAGTGGGGTCCAAGTGAACAAAGTTAGAGTGACTCAAGTGATGCTCAACCAAATCCCGTGTCTTCGAGCGAAGACAATGAGAGCAAATCTTATCCAGAGTCGGATGAGTCAGCTTTACTTGTAGCTCAAGTCAAGCTGCCACGTGTGTTTGAAATCTGACCGTGTGAGACGTGTCAGTTCCTTAGTGACCGAGGGTCATTTCGGACAAATCGGGTCGGGTTGCCCTGTGGCTATAAATAGCCCACCCCCTACACCATAAATTGGTGGCTGCTCAGAGTTAGTGCACGGCTTTTGTTGTTTGAGAGCAACCCACCTCCGAAGCATTTGAGAGAGAATCCTTGCGAGGACAAGGCCCAAACCACCCAGAGCCCAAAGAGTGTTTGGCATCACTGAAGTCTTTCTGTCCGCGTGATCTGAAGACTTGTTACACTTGAGAATTGTGAATCCTCCAGCTGGTTAGGCGTCGCGTTCTGAGCATCCAAGAGTCATTGTGGATTGCCGATGAATGAAGTCTATGAAGGTTTGGAAGTCTACCTTGAAGATTACCAGAGTGATTGGACGGGGACTAAGTGTCCTTAGCTCAAGGGGAATAAGGTGAAGACGCGGTCTTCTGAGTTGAATCTCAGCCTCCCTAACCAGACGTACAGTTGTCACAGCAACTGGAACTGGTCGAACAAATCACTGTCTTCTCCAAGCTACTGGTTCTATCTCTCACTTCTTTTTACTTACAGTTGTTCTTCGTGAAGTCATTGTCTGTTTGCATTATCTGTTTGACTTCACTGCGTGACTACTTGTTCTGATTGGCTTCATACTATCTTCTATCCTGATCCTTACTACCTAGCTGCTAATAGTCTTCGTGCTTTCACTTCATTGATTACTTGACTATGGCTTGCCTAGTGTAGTCTACCTTCCGCTGCATACGAATAGCGTCATTTCTATTGTTTGTCTTTGAAACTCCCATGTTTTGAAGACTTTCATAAAAATCGCCTATTCACCCCCCCCCCCCTCTAGTCGATAAACAGCTCTTTCAGGACTGTCCTGTGTGCTAAGGTAGCCAATGTGAATCTTTTTGCAGGGCGGGACAAAGTGTGGTGACACCTTTCCTCGTTGGGCAAATTCTCGATTAAATCTACGCATGCTAGGTTAACCAAGGGTAATGGTCTTCACATAGCTAGAGGCGTTTGGAAAGCTAAAATTTCTCTTAAGGTTATAATCTCTCTGTGGCAAATGTCTCGTAATCGTCTACCTACTTCGACTGATGTAGCTAAGCACAACGGTACCTCCGATGGCGACTGGTTTATTTATGGTTCCCCGGAGGATGCGAACAACACTTTCTTTTGCTGCGACCTTGCCATTTTTGCTTGGAGCGTAGTTAGGGAGGCTGCTAGGGTAGCCTGGAATCCTAAGTCTTGTGTCGATCTCATAGCTTTTTTTTTGAAAAGGAGGCATACCCCCGGCCTGTGCATCTCTTGATGCACACAACCATTTATTAAAATAATAGGTTTCAAAAAGGTTCCAACAAGTAGTCTATGTCGATCTCCTAGCTTGCCTCGCTTCTCTATAGGGTAGCGCTATGAGAATTATGTGGACCTGTGTTGGGGCTCTTCTTTGGTCTCTTTGGTATATCCACAATAAAACAACCATCGAAGGTGTCTTCCCCTCGCATCCGACTGATTGTACCTTCAAATGCATAATTTTTCTGCAGCAATGCCATGCCGAACTGGAACGTTGAAAACTTGGAACTGGTGTTGCAAAGATATCGACACATTAATTGCGTCACGAGAGCTCCTGTGGATGCTACTTAGGGTAATACTCCATCCGTAACTTAATATAAGATGTTTTTTGACACTATGACAGTGACAAAAACGTTTTATATTAAGTTACTGAAGGAGTAGTTTATTTTGCTATCCGGTGAGCCTGCGTGCTCGGGCAAGCTGTGAGTGTTGACTTAAGTTAGTTTAGTTGTTGTGTGAACCTATATTACTCTGTCTGTCTGTGAGCTTTATGATATATTAATTTAATGCAGGACAACTCCGGCGTCTTCGTTCTAAAAAATAATAGAGATCGGAAGAAAATCCGACGAAGTTGATGCAATCATGCAAGTGGAACAGCCTGACACTTTCATCAAACGGAGCGATATGAGTGAGATCCTCAAGGCTCAGTTGACGAATATAATTATCACTGAATCCAAGTTTATCTACATATGTTTGTTACAGCATTAGTTGCACTCATTTTCTTTCGAGACCATGAAGGTGAGGTTCCAATCAATTATACACAAGATTGTCCCTTGTCCGGTGCTAAGCAGCTCTTAATCTCTTCATGCAAATTACGCCTCACATCCATTTCATCAATCAAACAATCCCCTATGAATGTATACCTCAGTACTCTTTCACTACAAAATGCACAATTTCTTGACGCCAGATCCCACCATCTTCAGTTGGATTAATGGAAGCACCTTCAGCCGGAGATGTAGCTGTACAACTGTAGCCATGCCATGCCATGCCGCCGGTCACCAGCACCTGTCGGCGTCCCTCCACTTGAGGTACTCGACGCCACCGAGGTAGTGCGCGTACGCGCCGGCGATGACGAATAGATGGAACAGCTGGTGGCTGTGCCCGACGAGGTCGAACCGCCCGGGGAACCACCGCTCCGGCATGCGCGCCGCGTAGACGGCGGCGCCGAGCCCGTAGAGCGCGCCCATGAGCGCCTCGTAGCACGCCGTCACGGCGGCCTCCCGCCGGCCGCCGTACAGCACGAGCTTGTGCGCGACGGGGATGAGCCCCGACACGCCCATGCATGAGAAGAGCCCGGCGCGGAGCAGGCGGAACTCGGGCGCCTGGAACACCGGCACCAGCGACGCCGTGACCGCCGCGGCGCCGAAGGCGGTGATGAAGCCCATGTAGAGCCGCTGCAGCCCCGGATGGCAGAGGAAGGAGTAGTAGACGACCGGGTAGAAGGAGGTGACGATCAGGGCGGCGATGCCGGCATAGTCCAGCCGGAGCGTCACGTACGCCATTCTCTCCGAGTGGCACAGCACCAGGTGGCAAGCGCTGCTCGTAAGTAGGCACACCATGGCTCCGCACAGGTACGCGAACATCGGCCACCGCGTGATCGGATCGGCGGAGGCAGCGTCGTCCGCGGCCCGTGGCGCCGCGCTGGCGTCCTGCGGTTCATACGGTATTTAGCAGGGGAAGAGGTAGTACAAACTGAAGCTTAATTTGTCGGATAGGATAGCACACTCGCTGGAGTTAATTACGAACTCTCTTTGGTGCTCTCGAATAAAACTCAATTTTAGGTGACTTATTAAGAGGCAGTTGTGTAATTAGTGAAAATATATTTAAATTTTCGATAAAAAATATTTAAGTTTGTGAATGATACCCATCAAATTCTATACTCTACTCCCTCCGTTTCTAAATATTTGTCTTTTTAGAGACTTCAAATGGACTACCGCATACGGATGTATATAGACATATTTTAGAGTGTGGATTCACTCATTTTGCTCCGTATGTAGTCACTTATCGATATCTGCTTACAATATTGATGAACAAGGGTTCAAATGGACAGGGAATTGTGAATCAAGACAGGCACAAACCAAGGGACATCTAGTTATGCAGAGTTAAATGCAAAGGTGGTCCTAATTCTTTTTTCAAAATGTCAAGTCAGTCCCAATTATATGAAAATGATATCTCGGCATAAAATCTTTTGTAAAAATTTCATAAGAGGCCCTTTTGACCACTAACCCACATTGACTGGCCTAAGGGGCGCTTTGACCACAACCACGTTGACATAGGGCCCACCAGTCGTAAATGCGGGATGTGGATCTTTTCAAAAACACCTCACGATCATATTCCCTCCTATTCGTCTACTTACCTGTTCAAGCGAATCGGAAGCTATAGGCGGCATTAGAGGCCCGTCAAGACGCGATGATCATAGTCCAGCAAGTAACTTGTGGTGGTGTCTGTGAGGATGATGGTGCGACACATCTGCTAGTTCATGTGTCAGGTTGAGACTACGAACATGACTTGGTTGCTTGCACGACACAACAGGGCGAGGATGGCGGCGGCCCACTTGAAAAATGTGAGTGGCAGAGGAGAGCTTAGCGCGGGAAGGTTAGCCAGCTAAGGTTGTACCGTGTCTGGAGGAGGTGTCGTGGAGCCCTATATTCACTGTATGGAGGTGTCGTGGAGCCCTATATTCACTGTATGGAGGTTGGTGGTGCTAGTCGTGGTGGTGCTACATGCCACGAGGAGAAGCGGGAGGAGGGCAAAGGGACCAGGAGCTAACCACAATCATGTCGTGGTGCTTGGGGACGACAACGGAGCATGGAATTGATGGCAATAGGGTCCACCTCTCACGCCGCCCCAGCCTCCCGCGTGGTCCCTGCGGCTCTCTGGCCTCGACATCGACAATACCAACTCTCTGGCCACAGGGATGTGCATTCA